ACACACACACACACACGCATACACACACACACACACACACACACACACACACACACACACACACACACACACACACATACATTTTTATTATTATTTGTTTTTTGTGAACTCTACCTTCCAAACAGAGAAATGGTAAAGTTGCCCTTGTAAGGACAGTCTTGACTTCCAATGTGCAGTTCTCCTTTATTTCCAATAAGAATGTGTTTTGTTCTAAGAAGAATCGGCCGGTTGGTGTCAGCAATGACCAGTTTCCCTGAGTAGGTGAGAGACACAAGTTCAGGAGAGACAAAAGGGAGCGGGAAGGTTAAGGCTCTTGGTATTTTATTTATTTATTTGTTTTTAGCTCCAGTGCCCTCAGACACTTCCTTTCTTTCCACCATTTATGCTTCAGTACAGGCAATGCATACACATGCAAGGTCTTGCTTTCACCACATAAGATTCTTTGATCATTGGGCAAAGCTTTGCCTTGAGCACATTTTGCCAATTACATAATAGCAAAGCATGATTTTTGTCTTTGAAAGATCTTTGACTCCGAGGCACCTATTATGAAGGTGCTTGAATCTTAAATCAAGTCATTAACCATGGTGCAAAACTCTTTGAAATAATCCCAGGAGCTGTAAGGATTTTTCTGAGACAGCTAATCTCCTTTCATATGAGAAAAGTCAGAGGATCAGGGACAAGGCCAATGAAAATTCTCAGTCATGCATGATCATGGTTATTCAAGGAGTATCTGATTGAGGGCAACTGGAACTTTCCGGTTCACAACATGTCACAAGTTCACAACAAAAATGGAAAGTGTAGTATTCACACTGAAGCCAAATTAGCCGGTAGCGAAATGATTCAGGATCAATGATCCAATCACGATCCTCATTGCTTTAAGGATGACATTGGATCGGACAGAGTGCTGCCCCACAGAGTAAAAACAATGGGTAAAACATGGATTTGTTTGTCTCACCTCCATTAAGAATCTCAATGGAGTGCACAGTAGCAGAAGTTGTGAGGAGGACCTTCCTGCCATAACTGATGACAACACGATGATGTTTACTATGTCCCGGCATCCATGGCTTCAGCCCCGGTTCTTTGTCAGGACACACTGTAAGAATGTGTGGGAGGAAATAACAGTGACACTTCCAATAACTCGCAGAAAGAACGTGTCACCCATTCATGTTGTGATGACTGCAATAGAAAAAAAAATACAAACTTAAGTTGAACAGATCACAAATGAAAAATCTTTTGTGGCGGAAAATGAGAAAATAAATTACAGAGCACTAATAAGCTACCAGTAGCTATCTGCTAAAGTAATGATGAAGAAAAGAAATTTTTCACCACCCTGAATTATTTCCAGGGTGGTGGAGTTTCAATCAGCAGTTCAATTAAAATCTATGTAAAAAACAATGATGACTGTCTGATAACTGAATTTCTATTGCATTTGTTTTGCTGTTATATACTGAGCAAAGAAAAAAAAAGTGCAATACGTTATTTTAATAGCCTCATCAAGACTGCCTTAGCAATTCCATCATAATGATGATTATGACTATTGTTATTATAATTGTATGACAGATGGCAGGCCTGGTGATCGACTTTTTAGCGCGTCGGCCTCACAGTGCAGGTTTCGATTCCGGCTCCGGCCTTCCTGTGTGGAGTTTGCATGTTCTCCCCGTACCTGTGTGGGTTTTCTCCAGGTACTTTGGTTTCCTCCCACATTGCAAGAACATGCATGGATGGTCAGTTGAACTCTCTAAATTGTCCCTCTGTGAGTATGAGCACAAATGGTTGTATGTATATGTGTGCCCTGAGATTGGCTGGCAACCACTTCAGGGGTAGGCTCCAGCACACCTCGCGACCTTTGTGAGGATCAGCGGATCAGAAAATGGATGAATGGATGTTTGATAGAATTGGCTTCCTCCTGTCATTTAATGAAATGAAATAATGAAATGAAATGAAATTACAGAGAAGGGGGTGTTTAGCAAGATAGCAAGAAAAGAAACGAAAAGAAGAAATCAACTGGGAAAATAGGGAGTTTTATATATGTGTACATATACGTATATATATAGTTATTCAAGGAGTATCTGATTGAGGGCAACTGGAACTTTCCGGTTCACAACATGTCACAAGTTCACAACAAAAATGGAAAGTGTAGTATTCACACTGAAGCCAAATTAGCCGGTAGCGAAATGATTCAGGATCAATGATCCAATCACGATCCTCATTGCTTTAAGGATGACATTGGATCGGACAGAGTGCTGCCCCACAGAGTAAAAACAATGGGTAAAACATGGATTTGTTTGTCTCACCTCCATTAAGAATCTCAATGGAGTGCACAGTAGCAGAAGTTGTGAGGAGGACCTTCCTGCCATAACTGATGACAACACGATGATGTTTACTATGTCCCGGCATCCATGGCTTCAGCCCCGGTTCTTTGTCAGGACACACTGTAAGAATGTGTGGGAGGAAATAACAGTGACACTTCCAATAACTCGCAGAAAGAACGTGTCACCCATTCATGTTGTGATGACTGCAATAGAAAAAAAAATACAAACTTAAGTTGAACAGATCACAAATGAAAAATCTTTTGTGGCGGAAAATGAGAAAATAAATTACAGAGCACTAATAAGCTACCAGTAGCTATCTGCTAAAGTAATGATGAAGAAAAGAAATTTTTCACCACCCTGAATTATTTCCAGGGTGGTGGAGTTTCAATCAGCAGTTCAATTAAAATCTATGTAAAAAACAATGATGACTGTCTGATAACTGAATTTCTATTGCATTTGTTTTGCTGTTATATACTGAGCAAAGAAAAAAAAAGTGCAATACGTTATTTTAATAGCCTCATCAAGACTGCCTTAGCAATTCCATCATAATGATGATTATGACTATTGTTATTATAATTGTATGACAGATGGCAGGCCTGGTGATCGACTTTTTAGCGCGTCGGCCTCACAGTGCAGGTTTCGATTCCGGCTCCGGCCTTCCTGTGTGGAGTTTGCATGTTCTCCCCGTACCTGTGTGGGTTTTCTCCAGGTACTTTGGTTTCCTCCCACATTGCAAGAACATGCATGGATGGTCAGTTGAACTCTCTAAATTGTCCCTCTGTGAGTATGAGCACAAATGGTTGTATGTATATGTGTGCCCTGAGATTGGCTGGCAACCACTTCAGGGGTAGGCTCCAGCACACCTCGCGACCTTTGTGAGGATCAGCGGATCAGAAAATGGATGAATGGATGTTTGATAGAATTGGCTTCCTCCTGTCATTTAATGAAATGAAATAATGAAATGAAATGAAATTACAGAGAAGGGGGTGTTTAGCAAGATAGCAAGAAAAGAAACGAAAAGAAGAAATCAACTGGGAAAATAGGGAGTTTTATATATGTGTACATATACGTATATATATATATATATATATATGTATCAGAGGTGATTGCTCTAAGACTGCAAGGGAAGCTCAGCTTCCGCTAAACTAAAATGTCCAAAAATAAGTGATCAAATACATGTGTGTACATACAATTGTGTGTACATGTCATTGACTACATATACGCTACAACGCGCTAAACTTTTTTCCAAAACAGCCTCATTTTATTGGTTACGACGCGACTCTCTTCTCATTCATTCCAGCAGCTTCACTGCGCTTTAAACTGTGTGGACGCTGAGCATCTACAGCGCGGACGCTGGGCGTCTCAAGAGTTCAGTGTAGGTTGTCCCAATGCATTGAAACGAGACGAGTCATTGAATAAATGCTGGATTTGTCCCGCTCATCGGACGCTCAGCGTCTCTGGGAGTCTATGGACAGTGGGCGTTTATGGGCTGGCCCAGACGCTGAGTTTTTCGGCATGATGATTGGATGATCTGTCTGAGGTGGAATCCCTTTTTGATTGACAACGAAATGAGCCAATCACCAATCTTTTGGTGTAGGCATTGTGGGAGCATTTTTCAATTCTCTGTTCTGAGTTGAACTGGAGACTTCTTGTAATCATCTGAGTAACACTCTCTTTGTTGAAAACGACTAGCGACAAATTAATCTTTCATTTCTGGTGGGTTTTATTGTAGTTGCTGTAGTTGTCGGACTAAGTCCCTGGAAAAGACGCCTTGTTGGTATGACAGGGTCACAGATAATTTTCTTGAAAAGGAACGGAGAG